CACAATACAATATACTTGAAATCTATTTTGAGCAAAAATAAAACTGTATAGCAGAAAAATTTAAAAACTCAAAGAAAAAAAATACTAGAATTCCCATCGTGCAACGTCGTTAAGGAGAGGATTATTTTTGGGATATTAATATTAATACCCACGCAAAGTGTGAATATTATTAAATAATATTAATCATATCAAAGTATGACATGATTTGTATGAACACGTTAAATCATAAAACAACATTAAGAAGTGATGTGCATGCTTCTTCTTTAAACTGTACGTGCAATTGATAGAAATTAACATACACCTATAAGTTTAGTCCCATAATAATCAAACTTCAATTAAAATAACTAATTTCGGCATCCCATATGCAAATGTCGATATTGCCCCGAATCTTCAAAGTTAAGATCTGAAGAATCAACATATTTTTCATTGTGTAACGATCCGGCCAGTCGTTTTGAACAATTTCGTCCAATTCGATAGTTTGAGGTCATGAGTAGTTTCGCATAGCGTATAGTGACTTGCGTGCATCGTCGGCTTTCGTTTCTAAGTAATTCAGAATTGATTTTAGAAGGAGGACTCCCACTTGAGAAGCTTGAAATTGAAAGAGTTGACTAAGTTTGACCATGGTTTGACTTTAAGGCTATCAGGTTCAGATTTTGATTTCGGGAGTTGGCATAGCTCTGTTGCATCATTTGGGACTTGCATGCAAAATTCAACGTCATTCCGGGCTGATTTGATATGATTCAGCACGAATTGTAGAAGTTAAAAGTTCATAAGTTCATTAAGTTCGATTTGAGGCGCAATTCGTAGTTTTGATGTTGTTTGATGTGATTTGAGGCCTTGAGCAGGTCCGAGTTATGTTACGGATCTTGTTGATATGTCCGGACGGGGTCCCGAGGGCCTCGGGTGTATTTCGGATAGGCTTCGAGCCATTTCATCACGAGCATTTAATAACAATAACTAATATCAACTTAACAAAGCATTTGTTCGAAAAAGAATAGATAGACAAAAATAGATAAGTAGGGAATGAGGACTCCATGTGTTGCGAATCGGATCAAGTATAGCAATTCACCACGAAGTCTCCAATCAAGTACTCCGACTCAACTCAATGATACCGCCAAGTATAGTACGAGTACAAAACTACGATACCCAGTAAGTATCAAGTCTAGCCTCAAAGAGCTAGTGGCGAGAGGTTGACATTGACGCTACTAACACTCCAATAATCAAGTAAAACATAATTAATATACGAAAGTAAGCATGGTATCATCAAATGAGTACGAAATCAAAGAAACACAGTTCATACAGAATTTAGGTATGTGTTACAAATAAGGAGAGCAATTAAGATATCAACACCTCAATCCTCATGCCAAAACATGATTCATGTCAACAACATTTATATCAAATCACCGCATGAGCCAAAAATATGTACATATGCATGCTCAAGATCCGATATCAATGCATGAGCCTAAGCTGACAGTGCATGCTCATGATCCAGTATCAATGTACATAAGAGCCAATGCATGAGTCTGAGCTACCAATGCATGCTCAGGATCCATTTCTCAATAACTCGCATCACAAATCAACATGCCTGACACAGGCCATGTGTCCGACAAGCACCAAAAATATCATGTGTGCCTATGCTCATAGGGCCCAAGGTAATATGGGTAATACCTGACTCCGAAGGGACGAATTCATATCCAAGCGTTGAACATTTTTATATTTAATGATCATCATTCAATTGTCGTAACATGCAACCCATCCCAATCACAATGCCATCAATAATCGATTATCAATAATTAATATTCACTCACAATGTCCAAGGTGTCAAATTTCTCAACTTTCCATGATATCTAAATATTCAACTCATGCATATCTATATGAATTAATATCATTAAGAAGTACCAGACTCAACAACAAGAATACGGATAAAAGCCCATATGGCTAAAAGATAATTATGGCTAATCATGTAATTCAATTTATCACAATGACTCAATAAATAATTTAAGCATGTACATTTCATAAGTCTTTTCATAATCTTTATCATGAATAAGTTAAGCCATGTAACCATCAATCACAAATCAAATAAGACACATGTATGAGTACGGCTCACTAGAAAAGCTCAATATGGCAAAATAATCTTTTATGTCCAATTTTGCAAGTCATAATATTAAGCATGCTTCTAGCCCAAAATTATAAATCATCACGTAGGCATAGAATCAACAAAACATAAATAATAAACTTACATAGTCCAAACAAGGCATAATCATAGGCCAACTCTACCGTACATGGTCATAACCTAAATACGCATATACGCTTGTCACCTCACATATACGTGGTGATAGAATATAAGGATTCGCCAAACTCTATAGAGAACCAGGTTCTCTATCAGGTTCAACAGAACACACGCACACTGCAATAAATAAATGACAAGAGAAATTTTACGTGGAAAATTTCCAACTCAACGGGATTAAAAACCATGACCTACCCTTGTAGGATTTCAACTTCACCACTGAGCAACTTTTAGATTACAACCTATGCAGCCTAGGAATTAACCTCTTAATCCCTTACTAACTTATAATACTCTATTACAAGCCACTTTGTAATAACTCTATTACAAAGACTGCAACTCGACTAACTCTAGCCAAGACTCAAACACACATGGGTTTAAGATTTACAAAAGGGGTTCCTACAGAATGCTTCTAAACAAGCTAAGTAGGAAATACAATTGAAGAACTATTACAAAGTTACAACTCAACTAAGGACATACAATGACTTGATGTGGGAACTGGTCTGTAGTTGTTTTGTTCTTTGTTCTTAAAGCACTTGAAAGTTGCTTGCTGGATGGTCACGTGAGTGAGCTTGAGTAAAATTTCTAAGTGTTCAAGTGAGGTGTTTTACCTTCCTTGAGGTTAATAACATATGTGTGACATTACTAACAATGATGTAAGCAAGGTAGGTAAAAAGTCTTCCATAGAATGTTGACTGCTGCACTGTTCCTATACTGCAGCGTGTGCAGGCAGCAACTTTCCAGTTGGAGAGTTAACTTCGTACAGTCGCCTCAGGAACTGGTAGGGACCTGTTCCCTCAGCTATTCCTTCTACTCTGAAGAGTTGAATCATATCCCAAGCTGGAACCTTGTGATCTTAAGGTCTTGAGAATGTGTGGCAGGTTCCTTATCTCATTCTTGATAGTAAGTTTGTTAGATCATCAAAACATAAAACAAAGTACTTGTAACCTATCACGTGGCTCCACTTGTCTTAATATGCTAAGGCCCCTCCCACCTTTTGCCTTTTTTGTTGTTGTTGATTTTCCTCCCCTTTGATTCCTATTTGTATTGGAGCTATTGCTCCTTTGGTGACTCAAACCTACGACTCTAAGATTGTAGGTGTGGGGTGGTGAGCATCTGAGCAACTCCCTCTTGTCCCTTTTGTCTTTTATCAACTTAAATTACTAATGGGTCAGCGAGTCTCTCATCTATAGAATGGACAACACATATATTCCAACTCCTGCTCATGAGTGTCCTTGATTATTTCATCGTCTAGTTATTATTTCTCACCAACACGAGTTCAATTAAGATTTAAGTAGATGAGAAAAAATTATCTTATATTTTTTTTTGTCTTTACTAAACTTTAAATCCCGATCTTCATGATTTTCATGATTTGACCATTAAGTTACGCCTCTGCATACTTGATGGGCTGTAACTTAAACATATGTTCTTTAAACTTCTTTTTAATCAGATAAAGGAGTAGTATTTTGTGAGTTGGCCTTATGCATGTTATTATATTTAATATAGGGATAGGAACAAAAAGACAAGTCAGCAATTACTAGGACAGATACGAGGCACCGACAAAATTTCAGCATTTGATCACTCAATGTGTAATATTATTAAAATTATAGATGTCCTATGAAAATTGATCAATGAATCGAAGTTGGAGGGTTTCCTTAAATGTGATCATATGATGTGTCGAAATGTACACTCCACATTTGAGGTGTTCTGCTAAAACTACATATTTTTTCTTTTATATTCATAAGATTTTTGGTGAAAGACCATACATGGAAGAGGTAGTTGTTAAAAAGAACGACGCGAGAAGGGAAAGGAAAGAAGAAATCAAAATTTAATTTAGGATTTTGAGATATCAGCCATGAAATACGCATTAGCGGGAATAGGCTAAAGGGCAATTACAAGGCCTCTGGAAAACCTGCTTTCGAGTGGTCATAACTAGAGCTCTTAGGTGCGGAGAAATGAAGGTACATAGGTTGAAATTGGTGACAATTTGAAGGACTTTAGACTTTCAGAATAAGGGTAATAATTTAAAGTTAGGGCTTAACAACTCCCTCAACAAAGAAATTGTGAATCGCCCTGACCAAGTCGACTAGCTTCTCAAGGGCAGCTTGATAAGCCAGCTATTTTCGGTATTTTGTAGAAGCTGTATCAATAATAGGTCTGAACCCTAGCTCATGTACTCTTTATCTGGTTAGTCCAGACTGAATAACATAAGATTGGATAACATGAGTATAGCAACCCACGTACAATTTACTTATGTTTTAATCCTACCCAAGATGAGAGGCGAATTTAAAATTTATAGTGAGTGGGCATAGATTGTCCAATTACATAATTTTCCTCTTATACACAGTTTGATCTTAATTAGGTGCCTACATGAGGAATGTAACTGAACAATCAAGATAAAACAAGACCTATTATTTAGTCCAAGAGTACAAGCTATTTTATTCACTTGAAGAGTACATCGATTGATGTTTACTATACATCAATTCACAATATTTCACATTAACATCAGAAAGTATAGAGATACAAGTAAAATATATAAAGCTTCATTCAAAAAACAGAAGCTGCATAAGTACAGTGACTAGCTCTTAAAAACTTGAGCTTAAATCACAAAACCAAGGAAAAAGAAAAGTGAAGCATCCTACACCATGGTGTATATATACATGATGGATGCTTGTAAAAATGAATCGAAAGAAACAAAAAAAAGGAAAAAAAATAATTACCACACATTGATGAATTGATCCTCTATAAAAACTGGAGTGATCAAGCCACCAGAAGAGGTCTTCTCATTGTACTGATGTAACATTCTGATGAGTGTACTCGCTTTCTTGCTTGCTTTAGAGGAGGAGCCTTCGGCGAGGAGGGAATACAAAGGTCCCATAAGAGATGAGTTCTTTACTAAAACAGGAACTGCATCTGCCCCACCATTTATGCACAAAGCCAGCAACAATGAGACACAATGCTCCTTTGCTGTCCTTGAATTGCACGAATTCAAAACATCGATAATAATAGGTAAAGCTCCAGCATAAAGAACAGCCATTGCTCCATCAAGCCTTTCACAAAGACTTGATAAAACTGCTAAAGAATCTGTAATGAGATCTTCCCTTTCGAAAGACTTCAACAGATTGACAAGCAAGGGGACTAGTCCAGCAGCAATTACTCTCCAGTGGTTTTCGGGGCGCATTAGGAGGCCAAAAATGGTGACTAAGGCATTCTTTTTACCACGGTCAGCGCCATTTCCGAGCAGCTCTAAAAGTGATGGAATAGCTTGTGGATTTTCCCCTATCATTTTACGGTACTCTTCTACTGATGTAAGATAGAATAATGTACCAGCAGCATGTTGTCTAGCTTCCATCTTTAGTCCTTTTTTCAACACATCTAGTATCAAGAACAAACCTCCATTTTCAACAAGTATTCTTTTGCTCGTAGAGTTCTTTGCGAGATTCAACAAGGTAGCCATTGCATTCTCTTGATAAGAGGAATCCCTTGTAGTAACAAGATTCAGAAGAGGTGGAATTGCACCAGCTTCTACCAAACAAGACCTGTTAAAAATGCTTGTTTTGGTGAGCAAACGAATCTCGAAAGCAGCTTTATTTTGCTGTTCCATTGATCCAGCAATTAGCCTTTCAACAAGAAAACTGGCAAGAAATCTCATAGCTTCCTCATTAGCCACACTGCTTGTAGCAACTAACTTTATGCTATCGCGATTTCGCTTTCCAGTTTCCACAAATGGAATGCCATTCACAGAGCAATACTGTTTGATTAAGAGCTTCAAAGCCAAATTAGGAACCAAATCAATGTTCATTAGCCTCTCACCAGTCTTTGGACAATTGGAATTTCCAGCTCTAAACCATTTCAGAATAGACGACCGATCATACGTGTGACCTGAGGCTATTGTCACTGGATCACTCATGATCTCCAGAGTAATCGGACACCTGAAATCGTCAAGATTCAAGAACCTGATGATTTGATCTGCATTGTTGCTACCTCCATTGATTTGTCTAGTGATTGCATTATCCAAAACTTCAAACAAAGTTCCCCTGCAATAAATCATGAACCCCATTAAGCTACTTAGAATCCCCATATCTCTCTTCTCCATTGTATTTCCCTCTAAGCCAATCTCAGTATCCAAGAACTTAACTTCCCTATTGCACTCACCCCAACGTTTAATCCCCAAATAATCAAGAACCCTTTTCAGATCACTTGATTCTGGAATCATTCCATCTTTAAACTGATCCAAAATCTTGAAAACATTCACTTGCATTCTCCTATCATCAACTTCCACGTCAAACCTCAACTTAACAGCTTGATTTCTCACAAACTCCACAACTTCTTTAACTTCCAAAGAAACATCCATTTCCTCCAAAGGAAGAACTTCTAATGCCACTGAAATAGCTCTTGCCAGCATTTGAAACTGGCTTGAGACAACCTCGGATTTGGCTAAAATCCATATCCTGGTATCTTCTCTGGTACAATCTTCTAACAAGAACTGAAACTTTTGGAAGATAAAGTGGATCTCTGATAAGCTCAAAATGCTGGAATATGCAAATCTTGAAACCCCATTAGGGATTTCTTTGAGAACAATGAGAATATCCTCAACCAAACGAATTGAGTTTCTAGCATTCTTTTTATTGGTAAAGAAAGTTCTTGACTTGTAGTCAGATATTGTTTGGCCTAATTGGATCAAAGAAGTAAGGAGGCTAGAGAAAGATACTGTTTCACTAGGACGAATAGCCGGCAAATTCAAAATCCGGCGAGTGAATTCGTTAGACTTGTTGATCATTGATGTAAAAATAAATAGATCAAGAAAAAGGAGAAAGAAGAAAACAAAAAGAAAGATCAAATCTAAGAACCATACAATACAAGTATATATGAACAAAAAAAGAATAGCGTGTGTATGGATTTATGTGAACAACTTTTAGTAGGTTTGTGTATGAGCTTGTTAAAGTAGTTGGCTACATATATATAGGTGGTTAGTTGAAAAATGTAGGGAAGAACACGTGTTAGAAGATCAATGGCTAATTGGTGATCAGATGGTGTAGATTGTTACAATTTTCTTGAGATGGAGAGTTGACTAGGAAATTGGAAAAGGAGGGTTCGTGGAGACTGTTGAAAAAACAATTAAAGTAGAGCACGTAATGTTGCTACAAGTATGGGAAGAGCTCGTGGAGGAAGAAGGGTACGTGAAGGGACGCAGCCGACACTTCATAATTTAACGTACTAGTGACATTATTGGCAGAAAGACATTATTAGCATGCAAAATTAATGTGTAGTTAAGCAAATATTTGCTTATTGTCTATGTTTGAAGTCAATTCGAAAAGGAAGAAAGAAGGAAATTGACTAATGAAAGAGATTTAATTGGTGTACATCGTAGGTGGCGAGGAGGTTCATTATTCTCCAATATATTGATTTTATGTTATTAGCATTTGAAGGTCAAATAACTTTCGGACCAACTTACACACACTTTGACTATTTTATAAAATATTTACTATTTTCTACTAACATATGTACCAAATAATTTTTGAACAGGTAAGGAGAATTCACTTAGCGTTTTTCTATCTTTGTTAGGATTAAACCATGATCTTCTATGATTTTCATCCCACGATAATGACCATAATGCTTAAAGATCAATAATTCTCAAAATGGTTCTTGAAATTGTATTTTTCAGATTCAGATGGAGTAGTTTTATGAGTTGGAATTATGCATGTTATGAAATTTAATAAAGGAATGGGAATAAAAAGACAAGTCAGCAATTACTAGGACAGATAAGGGGCACCGGCATATTTCAGCATTGAATCACTCGATGGGTATATTATTAAGAATTATACATGTACTCAGGGGCGGATTTAGGGACCAAGGGTGTTGACCCGAACCCCGTTCGCCAAAAAATTATATTGTATATATAAGGTAAAATTTGATTTATCTCTGTATATTATGTTTTGAATCCCCTTAAAACAGCCAAAAGCATAGCTTAGTGGTCAAGAGAGTTCAAAATAATTGTGAGGTCTTTGATTCAATTCTCACTAGCTACAATCTCATCAAACTTTTTAACTTATTCGTTTTTTGAATCCCATAGCAAAAGTCCTGCCTCCACCACCGCATGTACTATGAAATATATATATACTATAATGCATCGAAGTTGGAGGCTTCGTTTAATGTGATCATGTGATGTGTTGGAATGTATATTCCATTTTCGAGGAGTTTTCCGAAAAGTATAATTATTCTTTTATATTCACAAAATGTTTGGTGGAAGACTTGATTCCAATTGGTGTGGACTTGTATCACATTACCTCTCCCACAAATTGTTTCTTCCTGCATTTCTCCCTTTCAAACTCATGTTCATTGAGATTATTAGAACATGCCAATAAGTGTTTGGACAAAACTTACTCATATCTAGTGCTTATAGTAAATCTATAAATGCATGTCATGTTTATTTTACATACTCTTTTATTATTTTATTATAATTAATTAATATTATTTTATCTCAATATATAATTTAACGATTAACTAATATGACTAAACAAATCTTTTGCCATGCAAAATATCATCCCAAACAAGTTGTTATAGTGATAAAGCCAACATTTCTCAAAGAGTTACAATGAAATTTAGGGAAAGTTACGTTGTTGACCCAAAAAAAAAAAAAATAGGGAAAGTATGTCCTTCAAAAGCTTACTTCAAAACTTAAAGAAAAAAAAAATGTCTTCTTTCTATGTCAAAATTATGCTTCTAGATAATCCAAACAAAATGAACTTTAATATTTTCAGCATATTTCTTTTTCTTATTTTGATATTTACAAAATTACAGCTTATAGTAATACTTTTCATATTATTCCTCAATACCTACTATCTATTTTAAAGAAGTTAATATAGTTTGATTTATTTTAAAATAGATCAAACTATTCTTTGAGATAAAGTGACAAATATTATTCTGGGCCATCACTCCGCAGCTCTACTTTTTATATTTGCAATTTTATCCACTCTCTCAAAAGATACAAAAAGGACATCGGCGAATTACAATCTTTATTGCAACATTGTAACTTGAGAATAGTGAATACCAAGAGAAGAAACTACTACCTCTCCCTTCACCTTTGCTGGGCACGTCTTAGACTTTTCACGTTCCTTAAGAAATAATAGATGAAGTACATAATTTACCATTATATCTATATTAATTAATGCATATTTTATTAGATTTGAGAAAAATAATTTGAAATGAGTAATAAATACTGTAGATATAATAGGAAAAAAAATTTGTCTTCTCTTGATATACGTAAAGTGACAAGTAAAAATAAAAATCTATTTTTATATACATGTCAAGTAAAAGTGAATGGAAGGAGTAATAATTTGTTGGAAATTTTACCTCTGATAGTAAATTATTACACCATATTTATTATAAACCAAAGCTATTTTAAAATATTATTATCTATAGTTACCTTTTATATTTTATAGCAAAATATGTATTTATTGTGTACACTACCGTTAAGGCGTAAAATAGTTCTTTATATTTTTTCTCTCTCTTTCTTTCATTTAATACACGTTCTTTCTCAAATCACAGCAAGATTTTTCTTATTTCTCTCTCTCCCCCCTCTCTCTCTCTCCCTCCTCAACGTTTTTGCTCCAAAAGTTTGTGGTAATTGGTAAAGCTTTTGGCCGGTTCACGTAGGGGTGTCAATGAATATTCGAAAACCGACTAAACCGATCGAACCGTACCGCACCGAACCGATTTTTAGGTTTCTTTTTGAGAAACCGTAGGTTTTTATATAAATCTATAACCGCACCGATAATTAGGGTAGGCTTTTTATTTTATAAAAGTAAACCGAAGAAATATCGAACCGTACCGAATAAATTTTACATGTAGAAAATATATTTATTTAGTAAGTTTAAAAATAATAATGCATTAAATTTTCTTTGGGACTTGGAATTATAAAAATTATTACAAGCCAACAAGTAATTAAACTCAAAATACTAATTCCTAAAACCTATTATGTTACTTCTACTTAAACTAAGTTATTTCAAGTATCTTTATTAGCAAGACACAAAGTATTCTAGTGATTATGAGTAGCAAACTACAATGTATTGAATATGTTTCCTTTCATATAATTTAGATTTATCTTTTTGAATATTTAATCTTCTATAGACTTTATTCTTGAGTCCCAGCTTGGTATATCTTTCAACTCGTGTGATTTATATTTTCTTTGCTTTTGTTTGATTTCTTTTACGCTTGTTGTAGAATAGTTGATGGATCTATACTCTAGCCATCTTTTTTTTTTAATTCATCACCATTTAAACAATAAAAATGCCTAGAGAGTTTTGCTAAGTCCTATAAAAGAACGTATGTTATTGCATTCTACTTTTACTGGTGAATTTTACATGATATTAAGAAAATACCGAAAATTAACCGAACCGTACCGATACTGAAGAGAAACCGACATGATTGGGACAATTTCGAAAAGTCTAATTTTGGTTATACATAATAGAATAAACGAAAAATTGGTATAGTACAAATTTTATAAAATAACCGGCCGAACCGAACCATTGACACCCCTAGGTTCACGCCAAACTACTCTACTATTCTTCCTTTTCTCATTCACTCTTTTTTTATTTTTGCCATTGTTAGGTTTTGAGGAATAAACTTCAAATTTCGTCTTCAATGGCTAATTCAACAACTTCGAAAAGGGTTACACGAGGTATACCCACTAAAGCACTCAATTTTGATCGTCGACGTCAGAATCGTCAGCGTCATCATCCACTATTGGCTCATCCTCTTAGTACAGATCTGGCCATGGCTACGCTGGAGAAAATTTGAGTGCTGGATTTTTATTCGCCTCCATTTTTAGTTTTAATACAATGTATACAGTATTTTGCTTGGACAGAAAAAGCTATTTCCGGCGAACTTTCTTCTTTTCTTTGTTATTTTAATCATATACAATGATATAAATATATTATATTCTGTACAAATACACTCAAACATATTGTATTTTTATATAAATATATTATTTTTCACCTATATTTAGGTATTCTGAAGGTCTGTATTTTTTAATATAGCCGAATATCACTGTATTTTGTAATTTTTTGTTGCTTGAATACAGTCGAATTGAATACGGTGAATTGAATACAATGTATAAAAGTGAATAATGAATATCTCTAAATTAAATATAATGTATGCAATCGAATTGTATAGAACAGTATACACCCTATTTCTTGATTACCTCACTAGAATACATCACAGTAGCATCGAAATTTATGTAGAATTAATTTTGTTGAGTTAAATTAGGAGTGATGCACGCTAATTGATCCTCTTTCCGTTATTAAACAGCTGGAGTCACCTATTTTTTAGGCGAATTCCGCTATTATATTCATGAATACAGTAGCGCGAATACAGCCACACAGATGGATTCCCCTATTATAGTATTCATGAATACAATAGCGCGAATACAACGAATACAATCTCGTAGCAGCGAAATTTATGTAGAATTGATTTTGTTAAGTTCAATTAGGAGTGAGACACATTAATTGATTCTCTTTCCATTATTAAACGGCTGGACTTCCCTATCTTTTAGGCGAATTTCACTACTGTTGTGTTCATGAATACAGTAGCGCGAATACAGTCGCACAGTTGGATTCCCCTATTTTTTAAGCAAATTTCGCTACTGTATTTATGAATACAGTAGCGCGAATACAGCGAATACAGTCGCGTAACAATTAAATAGTAGCTATAGGAAATAATTATGTATATGGTAGTTATAGGAAGTTAATAGCCACTAAACAATAGTGGTTTCTGAGAAAA